CGAAAAAGTTTGAAGGTGACATGAAGCAACTGTATCAGCGGCGGGAGTCACTATGCATCGTCAACGATTGTCTGATGTTTGGTGAAAGAGTAGTGGTGCCAGAATCCCTTCGTGCAAAAGTGCTGAGACAGTTCCATCTTGGTCATCCTGGGATTAAACGAATGAAGTCCATAGCCAGGAGTTATGCATACTGGCCTCACATGGATCAACATGTCACAGCGTTGGTTGAAAAATGCATCCGGTGTCAGCAGGCGGCAAAGATGAATGCCGAAATTCCGCCGGTTTCATGGCCCAAACCTGAGCATCCTTGGTCCAGGATACATGTCGACTTCGCTGGCCCAATAAATGGAACTATGTATTTAATTGTCGTCGACGCCTTTTCTAAATGGCCGGAAATCAGCCCCGTTATGCCCCCCACTACAACTAAGACTATACAGCTCCTAACTGAAATTTTCTCACGAAATGGCATACCAGATGTGATCGTATCCGACAATGGCTCTCAATTCACCTCTTCCCAATTCCAGAATTTCTGTCAACGGCTAACTATTAAACACTTACGCTCGCCACCATACCACCCGCAATCGAATGGGCAGGCGGAAAGGTTTGTGGATACGTTTAAAAGAGCACTGCTCAAGTCAAAAGGGGAGGGGACGCCAGCCGAAACGTTACAAAATTTCTTGTACGTCTATCGGACAACACCAAATGAATTGTTACCGGAGCAAAAGTCCCCAGCTGAAATCCTGATGGGAAGAAGATTGAAAACGATTCACAGCCTGATGCATCCGACCAATGCACCCTCATCAGTAGAGACAAAGCAGCAAAGACAATCCGCTTACGAGGTGGGATGCCCTGTGTTTGATAAATCACTTTTAGGTCATCAGCATAGAGGTAGGTTTTACCAGTGTTGAAACAACTGCATATGCTGTTGATATAGATTATGAAAAGCGGTGAACCCAAAACACTGCCCTGAACAACACCACTGGTAATTGGTCGAGGTGTAGATGTATGTGAGTTGATTTTGGTAATCTGGTTTCTATTTGTGAGGAACGAGCTAATCCATTGCAACAAGTGGCTAGTAATCCCGATAGACCGAAGTCTGCTGATCAAGAGATTGTGAGGTACCTTATCGAAAGCCTTTTTTATATCAAAATACAACACGGTTACTAGTTGTTTTTGATCGCGTATGCTGGTAACCTCATTTAAGAAATCTAAAAGACATGTGGTGCATGACCTAATTCTAATGAAGCCATGTTGTGAGGGGTCAGTGTGACCTTCCCTGAGTAAGTGATCAGATAGTTAATCTTTTATCACTTTCGCCATCACACGTGATATAACTGGAGTGATATTAACCGGTCTGTAGTTTTGGATTAAGTCTTTCGGTCCAGATTCATGTACTGGGACAATATGAGTCAACTTCCACCATTCAGGGTATATACTAGACTCTAAGGATAAGGTAAAAATTTTGAGCAAAAGCGCTGGAAGGTTCGGTCCTGCCATTTTAAAAAGTATGGAAGGTATCTCATCCGCACCACAGCTGCCATTGTGTTTAAGGGTTTTAATTGCCGCTTGAATATTGTTAAGATCAAATTTGATCGTACAAAGATTATGCGTACTGCTACAGTTAATGTTAGTATCAGGGATGGGAGATGTGTTCAGATTGAGGGATAACCATGTACTAAACAGTTCGCAAATAACAGCTTCGTCATAATATGTCTGTCCATCTTGTAGTATATAATGAATTTTGCGGTCTGAGTCCTTTTTTATGCGTTTGTTAAGCAAACAACAGAGGTTTTGGGACTTACACGCAGTAGCGAGAGCATTATTTTCTTCGATTTGCCTACGCACTTCATGTTGGTACTTCACACCTTCAAGTATAGCGTAAATTTGGTACAGGATGCTGAAGTCCTTAGATTTGCAATACGCCCGTTTTAGTTGACGTAGTTTAGCCCTAGCTTTATAGCTGATATAAGGAGTAACAGTATTGAAAGACGTTTTGAGTGGGATAGTAGTGTCTAGAGAAGATTTAATGGTGACATTGTGTATATGTAATGCATCAGGAAGTTCAAGATAAAAAAACGCAGTCCAGTTGGAGTGCTGAATTAGAAACCGAAAGCTGTCCCAGTCAGCATGTTCATAGTCTCTGTATTGAAAACGGTTTACAGTTTTAGATTTGTCACATTTGGCAGAAGACAATTTTATGGTCACTGTTGTGAAACTTTCCGCAGACAGCCACAGATTTTGGGGTGACATCGTGACAAAATACCAAATCGAGAATGTCGTGGTTTCTAGTAGGTAGGTGCACATGTTGTTGCCAACCATGTGTGCCTAGGGGACCAAGTATGCTATCAAAGCGTAGTGGACCGGAATGTGTCTGCAAGTTGATTCCATGGAGGTTGAAGTCACCACAAATAACTTCGCCGGTGAATTTAAGAGAGGCAGCCCTAGTAAACGACTCATCAATAGCAACGTCAACCGATCGATGAGTGTTTGGAGCTCGATATATGCATACAACCAGTATTTTACATTCACGGGCGTGCACAGTGAGCCATATCGATTCAGGCACTTGATTAAGAACAGAATCATAAAACATTTCTGCTTTGATGTCTCCAGATACATAGATGAGGTAACCACCACCCTTTTTAGATCCTCGGTCACCGTGAAAGAGTTCATAAGAGTCTATTAGAAGGTATGAGTCAGGGACACCGGAGGACAACCAGCTCTCAGTAATCAGGACAATGGAAGGATTGTTTAGAATTACCAGAGAGCGTAAGTAGGTAATTTTATTGATAACAGATCGGGAATTAATTAGCATTAGTGTTACGTAGGATAAATACTCATCTTTCATGGATGCACGATGGGCATCTGGGGGGTTGTATGTTGTGTGTTCTGAGGAAGGGCTGGAAGTAGGAATATAGGCTTGATTGTTATGGTCAGTTAATTTGTGAGCGATATAGTTAGGGGGAGAGAGGTGTTCAGAGACAGTCATGGTGAGAGAAGCATGTGAGGTAGGATATGATAAGTGTCGTTCGTCGGAGTTAACTGATGACCCCCAAAGAACAGATGAGGAAGTCGCTAGGGAGCATGAGGGTGGATCGTTTCGTAGGCTCATTGGATTAGGTATAATGGGGGAAGTCAAATCTTTGGACAGTGGAAAGGGTGGTTTGTCAAAAGGACCAGACACAAAAGTATTACAACCAGAAGGGGCAGACAGTGGCAAGGATCGATTGTCATCCATTACATCACAGAATGCAGAGCATGACTTGAAGGAGGGGGAAATATCGCCCTCAAATCTGGAGGTAGTAAAACAACTCTGCTGAGGGGGTGAGCGTTAAAAAAGGGTTAGGTTCATGTTTTGGAGAGACCGAAGAATTGTAAAAGGTATTTCGGCTAGGGTGGTGTCTAGGAACATTAGGCGGATGCCCAAGCAGGTTAGTGTTATGAGTAATCTCAGCAACTCTGGGCATCCTAGTCTTTTTGTACGCAATCAAGGGTAAAGGCTTTGGGTTAGAAACGGGGAGGCGCCTAAGGTTAGAGTTTAGGGAGGTATTTATGGTATGAGTGTCCGTATTCTCAGGAATCCTAGGGTTTAATTTTAGAAGTATAGTAGCGTCCCGAGTAGGAGAGGTAGAGGGCAGGCATTGTTGTTTATTAGGTATGTTAAGTACTGAAGACTGACGGTTAGGGCGAGTAGCACGTCTCCTGTGAGAATTTTGAACCACTAGGTCTGTCCTGTTATCTTTAGGCCAGTGTTTGTATATTACAGAAGTGGGACTGACTTGTGGTCTACATGTAAATGGGCTTGTGACTATGGGAGAAGTCGTTACACTCTTATTCAGGGGACAGGTCATTAGACTAGTAGTCCCTAGAATAGGGAGCTTGTATAAGGTTAATGTGCTCCTTTGGTACACTTTTCAATGATAGACACTGCCACAGAATCTCACGATCCACAGAGTCGAATGCCGCCTTAAGGTCCAGGAATACAACTATTGTAGGACGCCTAAATGTGTGTCTGTGTTCCAGGACCTGTCTTAGTGTGAAGATGTGGTCTATACATCCACGTCCAGGTCTGAAGCCAGTCTGGTTTTCTCTAGTCTGCTCTTCACGAGCTCTAGTTAGGCGTCTAAGTATAATCGAGGCTAACAATTTAGAAACTATATTAGTTAGACTGATTCCCGTGTGATTGTCGCAAGAAGACTTGTGTTCTTTCTTATAGATTGGGACAATCAGTGATTGAGACCAGTCGGATGGGATTATGTCCAGTTCCCAAATTCTGCCTAAAATTTCAGTCAATCTAGCTGCTTAAACTAGACCACCATCCTTAAAAATCTCAGGGGTCAGTCTATCAGGACCTGCAGCTCGTCCTCGCTTCAGATTTCTTAACGCTTTCTCAACTTCATTAAGACTAGGGGGATTTACGTTTCAGATAAGTTGAGCATTGGTTGGAAAGTTAGTAATATTAAAGTCACAAAAATTACAATTATTTTATTGTTATTGATTTGAAAAATTGTCTATTCGATTGATTATTTTGTTGTTATGTAATGAACCTAGATCTGTATTATAATATGAAATAACTGAGTTTATTGTGTGAAGCAACACTATGTTCTTTTGTCTGAACGAATGTCCCGGGTTTTTAAGATCATCTTCGTGTTAAAATAATTCAGAGAGATTGGCATATAGTCCAGGGATTTTTGTATGATTTAGAATACCTGGTATCCTAGATGACTAGTACTTTTTTATATGTATCCAATTGGTTGAAGTTTTTCTCTGTGTAATGAATAATTTATGGGAGTTAGTTGCATACATTCATCTGCTTTTCGAATAAGAGGGAGCTTCTATTTTCTGGTGAATGTATCTAGCTTCATTTGATTAGATATTTCCGGGGTATCAGTTTCTTCTTAATAAGAAACCACACTCTTCGTTATTTTATTTACTGTTTAGATAGTTTTTTTTCATCTGGGTTTAAATTAGTGCTTTTTTATTCGGCGCTTGCCATCTTTCAGCACTTCTGCTATCAATGTCGCTCAACAACTTTTACAAGCTCTCAATTGGTCGGATTTATTTGATTACGCAGAAATATACCCTGGGTCTAAGATCGCTCACTTTAGGAGGTATGTATCAATCGGTTTCACGTTATATTTTTCAAATGCAAATGAAATTCTAAGAATGCACAATTTGTAAAGGACTTGTTTAGAAACAATCCAGGATCGTCAAGTTTAGAAAAATTGTCTCATAACTCCTTTAAGGTGGATTAATCTTCCGCCATATTTCTCACTATCTGTAGCCAGAGATAACGGTCATCTCGTGAACTTCAGCCTGAAAGCTTGCACCGATTAGTGTAATGTCTAAGTTTGGTAGCACGATAATTATCCAGCATTGCGCTTCTGGATATGCTACTTTCTTTTTAGTCAAGCGTGGTTAAGTTTAAGCTGCTTGTTGCGCTATCCAGATCTTCATCGACACGGAATGTTCCGATAAACACACCAACTAATTGGGTTGCATACACGGAGCACACTTTGTGTGATGTATTGGATACATAAAAGTGTCTACTCTAGTCTAATCTGTTTCTTCCGACAGAAGCCTTGACACTGCGTTCACTTGAACTTACCTTTCAGTCCAACTAGTAATCCTTGCATGAAAACACGTTGATTAATTCGAATAAAGGTTGGAAAAACCCTTTTGGTGTTGCCCTCAACCATGATCCAAAAGTATCCCCTGAAAATTGATGGAGACCTTTGATATGTTCACTCTAGTTGGTCATGTGTAATGTAAAAGCCTGGCAAATATTTGCGTTGGCTCAATTTGTCACATTATATTAGCACAACGATATGAAATTATCACTACAAATTCGTCAGTGATAAGAGTGATAATAGTATTAGCAGTAGTAGGAAAGGTTGAGTATATAGACAATATGATTGGAGAACAACGAATAGGTTTTCACAATATAGAATGTGAAATAATTTAACAGGAAGACAAAGAGTGAATGTACCTATTCTGTTGCAAATACTTTCGAGCTATGCCTCTAGAAATTTTCAACCATCGTATACAATAATTGTGTAAACCCCGATCTGTTAGTCTAAACCTACGTACTTACATTGTTCTTTTCAGTTGTCAGTGACGTCCTAGACTGATAGCACGTTTTATTTATTTCAACTGTTCCTAACCCCCCCCCCCTATCTAACTACCTATTTGCACACCAGTCACTTAAACTATTTTATTTTCATCATAAATTTCAGATTTCATGAATTATCTGGCATAGGCTATGCAGATATGTTATTTTTCGATGATGAAACTCGTAATATTAATGAAATTTCTAGACTAGGCGTACAGTGTCATTTGGTTGAACATGGGATAACATTAAATCTTTTAGAAGATGCTTTAAGAAAATTTCAACGACAAAGAAAAATTCATGAATATATTTAAATTGACTGGATTTGTAAATGTATTCATTCCGTAGAAGGAAGATTATTTCTGTAATAAAATTGTTTTGGTTATGTGTGTTTATGAGAAGTACATGTTTTATTTTCATATTCATTATTATATGGAATAACCGAAATTGGTATTTAAGAAACTGTGATCATTTTAGTAGTGAATTTATTGTGATGGTAAATAACTCCTCAGAATTAATAGCGAACGAGAGTGGTATTTAACGGGGAACGCAGTTCAGTTAAGAAAATTATAACCAGAAGGAATCGTTTTGGTTAGAGAAGTTTCTCTCACTTTGATGAAAAATCCAAAAGAAGGCCACAACATGGTTACCATTGGTTTCTATTCTTAGGGATATCCTGTGACATATCAAGCCATTGAGTCAGACTATCTCACGCACGTTATTTTCAGGATGTTGTGATGGGTCCATGAAATTTTTTTCATGCCTCAGTATCATGCCAAAACTAATCATCCCTCAGATTCTAACCGACTCCAGCGTCCACAATAAAGATTTACCAGAAAGGAATTCGACCACATGATGGATTTAGGGATTATCCGATTGTCAGATAGCCCATGGTCCGTCCGCGAAGAGTTCAGCAATGATTGTCGTCCCGTCGGTGGCTATTGATGAGTGAATACGAAAATCACACCCGGCCATTACCCGTTGCCTCACACTGACGACTTCACAAATACCTGGGAAGGTACAACTGTCTTTTCAAAAATTGGCGTATAACCAAATTCCTATGGCTGCAGACGGCATTTCTAAAACGGCTACCATCACTCCCTTTGGAGTGTACTTGGTGTACGCCTTTCAGTATACGAAATGCTGCTCAAACGTTTTACATATTAATTGATAACGTTTCTGGAGATTTAGACGTTGTGTATGCTTATGTCGATGACCGTTTAATCGCAAATATAGACAGAAAATCTCATTCTCAGCATCTGGGTCATCTTTTCCAACGACTTTCGAGACAGTTACAGGATACTAAATCGAGGGAACTTCTAGCTATGTATTGTGCTGTACGACACTTTCAATCCTCTGTGGAGGGCCGAGAATTCACTCTTTCCACAGGTCGTAAACCTGTAACCCTTTCTCTTAGCTAATCTTCAAACAAGTACTCCTGACAACTGGGCTACATCTCGCAGTTTGCTTCAAATATGCAACATTTTCTGGGATAAACAATGTAATTTGCAAATACACTATCTCATTTAACTTCCTTGAATAGTCTCCGAAGAGTTGACATTTTTAAACTTTCTCAGCTTCAAAAAGAAGACACTGATCTGGAACCCAAGTTATCATCGACAGCTTTGAAGCTACAGGTCGAACATAGGAATAAGCAAGGAAACTTTACTTTGTGGCATATCTACTGATAGGGATGGTCCAATTGGGCCGAAACATTATCGACACAATATCTTCAATACATTGCACAAACGCTCTTATGTATTTATCAGAGTGACTATCAAGCTGATAGTAGAACGATTTTGCTGACCTGTCATGAAGAATAACGCGAGGAAGTGGGTAAGTTTCTGTTTAAGCTGCCGTAAATCTAAGCTAATTGGGGATGATAAGCGTCCTTTAGGCACTGTCTCAACTTCTGACGTTTGCTTCAACCGCGTTTATTTTGACTTGGTAGGATTCTTGCCAGATTCAAACCGACACCTGCTCTCTGACGTGTGTGGATCGGTTCGCACTGACTGCCAGAACAGCTATCCATCCATCAAGTTTGTCACTACTGAAAGTGGTTCGCACCAACGTCGAACAGTAGGTAGTAAACTCCGATTGCCCTTTAACCATTATACAGATCACGGACACCAGTTGCGATCTGTACTTTCCTACTGTCTTACTACTACCGCTACACAATTCCGAATGACCGTCTTCCTTTCGCAAGTTAACGGTTTTACCGATAGGTGAAAGCCGACAAGCCTGTTGCGTGTCGAGTCGAGTTTGACTGCGATCACCACTGCAGACCAATTACATGCCCGTCGCATAGAAGATAAGTAAATCCATACAAAAGAATATGTTTGCTGGCGATTTCGTGGTGCCGAAATGATACCTAAATCGTGCCGGAGAAGAGGGGCTAAATTACAGAGACAGTGGAGCCAAAATGGCAGCAACACAAAGGAAAAGTTTGCGCGTACAAAGTAGTAATAAACAAAGAAGTTCAGTAACAGACTCTTGGGTACAAGTGGTTATAATAATGAATGATTCTATTAAGCTAATCATTTTCTCCTTTGTGGTGAGCGAGTCGAGATACCAGATTGACTATGATCACCACTAAATGTTCCATAATATCCCGTCATTAAAATCAAAACAAATCCATGGTTGAGTATTTTATTGAGGGAGAACGTTGGCATTACATGGGGAGCAGGGCATTTAGGAAAATGGCAGCGACGCGAAGAGAACGTTGCACGCAAGAAGTGGAAGAAGTGTTTTTGGTACAGTTAAGCAAAACGAGTAAAATACTGTTTTTTTTTCACAAATTGTATTTTCTTCGTAGAAGCGTTCCACTGCAGCAGCCCCCGCCTAGAAAGGGTTCACACTTTCGATACATAGCGGCTGCGTTTGGGGTGGGGGCTGGTTGGCCAATATTTGATTGTAGTGCGGAAGGGTTGACGAACAGGAAGCGACCAATGAAGCTCGAGTTGTCACCGATAGTCTTCTACGTTGAACTGTACCAGTAGTAACGTGCCAAATTGGCATGCCACTTAAGCGTTGCTCGTATCCAGAGTCTGAAGATTGCGTTCGTAGGCGTTGCGCGCAATAAGTGGAAGGAGTGTTTTTGGTACAGTTAAACAAAACGAGTAAAATAACGTGTATTTTTTACTAATCGTATTTTCTTCGTCGAAGCTGCATACTATCACCTTCATTGTTTATCGCTTTCCATTTCTTGATATAGTCAGCGTATATCAAAACCCATGAAGACATGAGATCTGGGAGGTCGTTTACCTACCGGGGGAACAACACCAGTCCTAAAGCTGTATCTTGAGGCACCCTGCTAAACAGTTTCCCAGGTAGACAACTTGGAGTTAACTCATACTCTTCGTTGTTGTCCGACACGGAAGTCCTTAATCCATATAAATATGTTGTCCTCAATCCCGATATCACTTAACTCAGACAAAAGCCGGTTATGAGGGGCTTTGTCAAAAGTCTTTTTAAAATCAATGAAGTCTACATCTATAGGCAGCTTTTGATCATTAAGAATGTACCAAATTTCACAGGCTACTAACAGATTTGCGAGACATGAATAGCCTGTTTTAAAACCGTGGTGCTTCTCGGAAACATTCCGGATTTCGTCTAGGCACTTAAACAGCTCCTTACGAATAATCATTTCTAAAAATTTTCAGGACCATGCTGGTTAGGTTTACGGGTTGATACTTCTCAGATTTATGTCTCACACCTGTTCTGAAGATAAGACTTACTATGGCATTGTTCCAGTCTTCTGGTAATCTTCTTTAGTTTGAAGATTGATTGAAATAATACGTGCAAAGGATTCGGGGTGAGATTGGATAGTTCTTTAAGTAATCTAGGATGCATTTCATCGAGACTCATTGATTTACTTTAATCAGGTTTATTCAAAAGATCCAAGATGTTGACCACTGTCGACTACTGTATCCTGAGTGTGAATACAGAGGTTTATATGGATAACAAGCTCGTTGCATACAAGCAGTATTGATGGCACAGCCATACTCATCCCTTTTGCTGAACCATTTGTAAGCTGTTGGTGTTGGATTTGTGAGAACATTGTGTTATTATCCTTTGTACTCATCACATCACTTTGAACAGAATATCGACAACACAAGCTTTGGCACATGCTCATTTTACATTGTCCAGTTATCGAGGCGAGGTTTATAAAAGAATATAGACACTTAGAGACGAAAACTGATAGCTCGCAATAAACTAACCATGAACTATTAATTCCAAACGTGCAGAAAACATAGAAATATAGAACACACAAAAATTGGTCTTGAAAAACAGATAGTGTTACTTTAACTGAAATCAATTCAGTTATAGTGGAAGACAGTAGTACTCGGAATTGAAGTGTCCTCGTTGACCTCCAACCACTGACACAAAACGATCCATTTTTGGATACCGTATTAAGACATTTAAGCATTCCCCACGATCTAATCTTTGTTCTCATTCATTTGAAGTTAGTAGAAGCATCAGATCAGACAAGTGTATTCAATCCAGGTCGAAACAACTGTGCGGTCGGACTAGCTATCTCACACAACTGTTCTCTTCGTAGGTGCTTCGGCAGCACACACATATTCATTCACGTGCAAACACAGGAGATGTGGAAAGGTTACTAGATCTCCGAGTGGCCGCTTACTAAGACGGTCAAAGGTAAAGTTGCAATTTCAGGTGTCTTCCAGGTTCTATTCTTGCTTAGTATATATTCACTCAATCTTAATATCACTATTGTCCTCCTCTAAAACTTATATCTCGCGTAGTTTCCTCTCTAAATTATTTCGTTTTCTGGATCACTCGATGAAACCAAGATGACACACTGCCTAGATTCCTACTTCTGGTAGGACCAGTAGATAACAAGAATGGGAGAAAAAGACATGTTATGACGTAAATGACACAGCATACCGTTCAGAAGTAACGCAAGGATAATTGTATTGCATGTTCATTGCCAGCCAAAACCAGCGACTGTGCTTGAATGTCACCTCTGAAGTGCATGGGTTCACTGTCTCTGCGATACTGCAGAACCTTGACAGGGCTATAGGTTCATAATTGGTCACATCTATCCGCAGATCTGGTACGCCGGTTCATAGTGCTAAATCACTGAGACAAATAAATTAACAGCAGTGAAGTCACAGGGTCCATCTAAAATTAACCCCCCAATCTCTCCAAGTAAACCTATTTTGTCTAGCAATAAGCAGACTAAACATGTGACAAAGGTAGATGCCAGCCGAGCCAATAAACCGACGGAACTAACTGCTGTTGTAAACTCCTCAATATCTGTTAGTATCACGGGGCAGTGGTTGACTTATGAACAGTCCCATAGATATTTCACATTGCTCTAAATGTCAGGACATAAAGAAAAGAAAAGTTTGACGAAACTCAATCATTTTACTGGATGTTTCAGTGTTCGAAGATA